GCCCCAGTCATAGATAGCCCAAACTTGTAAATGATGTAGCTCAGTCATTTCTCCACCGATTTACAAAAGAAAAAGTGCACCAGAATGGTATAGATATTCTCTATTCAAATGTATAATAATATGCTGTATATTTCACTTTGGTGGCTATGCAGCACCTATTGGCCCAAGGTTGCCTCTCAAGCTATAGAGCTTCACAATGGATAGGATTTGGGCTTAGGTTTGCAGAGACGAAATCATCGATTACTATGTGGCCCCAATCCTACGGGTCCAGAAATTTAATTACTAGCCTTTAACCATGTTAAAGTACTGATTTTCAAGGGTATCTCAGCGCAGGGGCCACAAATAAAATTTCTGGACCCGTAGATCGATTGGAATTTAAATTTTAAGTAAAATCCGTCTGCAAATCATGTTCATACGTGCTGTTGTTGAAAAGTTCTATTCCAATCTCTTCAGACTGCCTGATTTGGCAGGGAAAACAGACTGATTTCGCATTTTTGGAGCAATAAATGCAATTGCTACATGGAAAACTCTCTGAATGGATTCATTCACTTAATTCAGTCAAACCCATTGCAAAATTTTTATTGAATTGGTGTTGTAGAGAGTACAAGGTCAATGTCTCAAGAAATTGGGCCTGTGACGCTCTGTCACAGCATGTCACTGGTCATCACACATACCAAGGATTGTGCACCACTTTTAAGACTCAGCTCTGTACCTTCCCTGCCATGGCAATCACTCGGAAACGCAAAGGGCCAGATAAAGAACCACCTTCGGCAGGTACGAGGTTTCCTCTTTATGCTGATCCGTCGGCTGTCTATTCACTAAATTTACAGTCGATGCGGCCCTCCCTGTAAGTATGCTTCTTCGCTGCGCTAGGAGGTTCTTACGATGAGTTAGCCTGACGTACCGGGACAACGGAGGAAACGTCAGAAAAAGGGACAGGGCCTAGATAACGCAAAAAAGGTATGAGGCCATCTTATCTTCACTCCCAACTGCCTCTAAAGGCAGAGAATAGCGTCCTGCTTTGAGGTTGAACCCAGTCAGTGGCTAGTTTCTTCCTTGACTCTTGGGCATTCACAACTCTAGCAGAGTCAGGCTCCTGTGCCCTTGCCGGCGGTCACATTTGTAGAAATCCGACCTAGATCATAGGTAAGATCAATCTCAGTCTCGGTATAACGGACTACTATTAGGAATAATGTACCTAGATCATAGGTAAGATCAATCTAGGTAAAGTAAGTAATCATGTCGTAGCGGATAAGTAAAATGGCTCACCTCAGTCTCAGCGTAACGGACTGAGGTGTGCGCAGTGTACTGTACGTATATATACACTACGTGGAATAAAGGGATGGGCTATGCGTAAAGGAAGAGAAAGAGAGAAAGAAAGAATAATAAAAAAGTGCCCAGAACCAACACGCGCGTTCACGGCGTCGCGATAATCACAACTCTCCTCCTCACCGCGAACGCTCCTCCTCGCATGGAGTCGGATTATTTGATGCCTAAAAATTCTCGGAATCAGGTGAATTTTCTGGAGTCGAGCGCTTTGGTAAATATGTCGGCGATGTTGTCGTAAGTGTTGATATAGGACAGAGTTATTTCTTGAGATTGGACGCGTTCGCGGAGGAAATGGTGTTTAACACTGATGTGTTTTACGCGATCGCGAAGAAGAGGGTCCTCGGATAGGTTGATCGCCGCATTATTATCGCAGAGAATCATTGTTGGGTCCTTGAGTGGCCGATGACCTATCGCGTTAAGAAGGGTTCGGAGCCAGATTGCTTCCTTGCAGGCTTCGAATGCGGCGACGTACTCTGCCTCGCACGAAGACGCTGCGATGGTTTTTTGTTTCCTGGCTTGCCATGAGATTACGCCAGATCCAAGGGTGTATGCGCGTCCTCCAACGCTACGTCTCGTATCGAGGCAATTGGCCCAGTCGGAGTCAGCGAAGCCTAGGAGTGATATAGGGTTGTTACCTCCAAGGTGAAGTTTATGATTGCGCGTCCCAGAGAGATAGCGAACCACTCGTAAAGCCGCGTTCCAGCGGGCGTAGGTATAGCAATCAAGGAATTGCGATAATTGTTGGACAGAGTAGGCGACGTCAGGACGCGTACCAATTGAAAGGTAAAGGAGGCATCCGACTAGGGATCTGTATGGTAATTGGGTGATCAGGTCGAGCTCTTCTTGCGATAATTTCTTGTAGTCCGCGCGTCGAAGTTTTAGTCCTGGGTCCATTGGGACTGGAGCAGGTGCGGCATTTTTCTGACCGAATTGCGCAACGATTTTGTCAATGAGCGCAGTTTGTGAAAGCATAACCGCTCGGTTGGGTCGGTCCCATTGACAGCGATTCCTACTACGAAGCGGACTGCGCCTAGATCGGAGATAGTCCAGACGGTGCGCATTTGGTTTTTGAACCCTTCGTTTTCGTCTTTGTTGCTCGCAATCGACAGGAAATCGTCAACATGGACGGCCGATATGATGACGCCGCTGTCAGAGCTCCTGTAATAAACGCAGGACTCATAAGAAAGACGCGTGAATCCCCAGGAGAGCACGTCCGCATTCATGGTCTGATTCCATATTCTTCCGCTCTGTTTCATATCATAAAGCCCTCGTTCAATTCTCCACACGTACTCCTCCTTTCCAGGTTCTTCAAAACTCCTGGGTTGTTCCATATATTGGATTTCATCATCTGGTAGGAGTCCGTAAAGAAACGCCGTTTTGATGTCAATTTGTTGAGCGTCCCAATCTAACACTGCCGCCAAATGTAATAGGATACGCCACGACTCCATGCGCGCTGTCGGCGAGGTAGTCTTTGCCATAGATTTGCTCCTGGCCTTTGAAAACGAGTCGTACCTTCCATCTAACAGCCTTTCCCGTCTCATTACGTTTAATCGTAAATACGGGCCGTCCCTTTCGAATTTTGGTTCCTTGTGGAACTTCGCATCGCGGTACCAACGTGTAAACTCCCATGTCTTTGAGAGATTTGAGTTCGTCACGATAGCCCTCTTCCCAGCGTTTAGCGTCAGTAGACTGTTTTGCTTCCTCCCACGTTTTGGGCTCGTCTTCAAATTCAAGGGTAGAGGGATCTATTATCGTCATTTCGGAGATAGCGGAAAGTTTGCTTCCTCCCACGTTTTGGGCTCGTCTTCAAATTCAAGGGTAGAGGGATCTATTATCGTCATTTCGGAGATAGCGGAAAGTACCTGATCAATCCGTTCCGCTTCTCCGTTCCCGAGATTCAGGGTCCCAAAAGCTTGGCGAAGTTCCTCGACAGCTGCGTCTTCGACGATTTTGGGCGCGTTTCTGGCTTCTTCGTCTCGTAAGTCCTGCAGCGTCTTTTTACGTTCTGTACGTGCCGCCTTCAATCGGGATGCTGCTTCAGCTGATTCCTGGATAGCTTTTTCGAGGCGCGAGGGCCCTTGGATTGCTGGCTTGTCGGCGATGCGAGTTGAGCGTCGAGATCTTCAGGTTCAGGGTTGAGCGTTGAAGGAACAGTGGGGTTTATTGTTTCTGGGATGGGATCGACAATTGTTTGTGGGATTGGGTTTTCTGGGGAAAGGAACTCTTCTTCGTCATCGTCGAAGAAAATCGGGGTAGTTGTAGCGCTTTTAACAATAGATTCAAGTGCGGTGGCTTCCATGGGGATATCGGGGGATGAAGGAAGGTGGCCGTCATGACTTTCAAGGAAACGTACGTGGTAAGAGCTTATCACCCGCTTCGTTTCGCGATGGTAGCATCTATAAGTCTTGGAGTTTGTATCGCACCCGATAAGAACACATTCGAGGGATCTATCGTAGATCTTTGGATTGTGTTTGTTCTGTATCAGAACGAAGACACGGCAACCAATTTCTCGCATGTACGAGTAGTCCGGTTTCCGTTCGTACCACTTCTCCCACGGCAGTGTTGTCCCATTAAGTGATCGTGTTGTGGTTTTATTCTGGAAGTGACTGGCTGTCAAATAGAACTCGTCCCACATATTTGGAGGGCGTTTGGCATAGATCCGCATTGTCCGCGCTTTTGCCGTGAGCGTGCGATGCATGCGTTCTACACGGCCATTGTGAGCTGAAGTGTATGGGGCCGTGAATAGTTGGTTAGCCCCCCTGGATGCGAGCCATTCGCGCATTTCGTTGCTTTTCGGTTCTCCATTATCTGCGATGTACACGCCCACTTTTAAGCCTATTTCCAGTGCTCTTGCACGTTCCCAAGCTGTCAGGTCTGCAAAAGCGTCCCCTTTCCCTTTGAGCGGCGCTGACCAGATGCGACTCGAATAATCGTCGACGACATTCGTAACATATTCATTGTTATATGTGGTCCACTAAGGTCAACCCATACTTTCTCCAACTTCCTCGTTGCTCTATGCCCCGGCCCCTCCTCACGCGATTTCGGAACAGGTGTCTTTGTCTGTTTTCCCATGACACAAAATTCGCATTTAGGTGGGTCTTCGCGTAGAAGATATTTGGGCATACCTTGTATCATTCCATTGCTAACCATGTCTTTGAGCGTCTGATAATTTGCATGGCCAAGGCGGCGGTGCAAGGTCTCCAGATCTGGTGCATGTTGGGCAGCAAAGACATGTTCGGCGTAGACAGAACGGAGTGCCAGGGAGTAGAGGTTTTTGTTTGGAAGGAGGGTACCGCGCGCTATAATAGCGTTCGTAGATTTGTTTGTGATCCAACAGGAATTTTCGTCGAAATGCGCAACCGCCTGATTGTCGCGTGCGAGTGTGCTGACTGATATAAAGCGTACTGTTGCGTTTGGGATGTAAAGCGCATTTTGTAAGATGATGTAGGCGCCGCGTGCAACGCAGAAGTTTGATGTTGCCCATACCGATGGCTGTCACGGATGAACCGCCGACTCCCTTTACTGAGCGAGCAGTGGTTGGTTTGAGGGTTAGAAAGTCTGATCTCTCTGGGGAGATATGAACAGTAGCGCCAGTGTCGACGTAGAAAGGTAGATCATCGAGAGAAATGGGAGTGCGATTATTCTGATTAATGGGTGAAATCTCGGAAATCGCTGCGACGTCGGATGGTTTGGTGTGAGTATTCCAATCGACAGTGGCTTTGGGCTCCTCCTCGAACACAAGCCATCCCTCATATTCGATTTGTTCAATGGGTGCAGCGAGGGTCTCGTTCTCGAGAATACTATCAGAGGTGATCCCTGCAAATTCGGCAGTGGGCGTGGGCATCGAGACGTCGCTGGGATCGACCTGAATTATAAAGGCCTTCCCGCTACTGTCCCTCATAGTGACCGAGACTTTACCTGGGGTATGGGATCCATTATTTCCGTCTTTCTTATTTTCTCTGTCCCTCTTACGTGCCGCAATCGATTCAGCGATCGTTTTTCCAGCCATTCCTCCTCCTGGCACGACGCAGTAGAGAGTGGTGTGACCAGGGCGCTTACAAGTACCGCAGATCGGAGTATTGTTGGACTTAGAGGATTTTGCCTGAGCGGCGAGAACTGTGGACTCGATGAGAGGTTGTTGCGACCGCGCTTTGAAGTATCGGCGTCACGAAGAGCTTGCTCTGTTTCTAGCAGGAGGAGGATGTCCTCGGACTTGTAGGACCCTGCTTTGGAGTTGGTAAGACAGGTGGAGACGACGGTGCGGAGGTGCGGAAAATCCTCGAGTGCGTTCATGAGGGCGACGCAGCGTAGTAGGTCCTCGTTGAGGGTGCCGATGTTGAAGGCCCATTTAATGTCTTCGCAAATATGACGGCCTGTCTCTGGGAGAGGCGTCTCCTTTGTGCATTTGGCGGCTAGCGCTTTCTGCAGGAGATTAACTTGACGGATGGGCCCTTCGTTCTCATGGCGCGCTTTAAGAGCAGTCCAGGCAGCCTTTGCCGCGATAGCACCTCCGCATTCGAGTTTAATGTAAGTGCGTTCGCTGGGGTCGACACTTCCAGAGATAATAGACCAAGCTTGACGGTCGTTGGCGAGCCAATTTTTATGCGCGCGCGGTTCGACTGTAGCGGAAGGAGCAGTAGTGTCGCCCTCGATATAGTCAAAAAGACAGTTGCCCATCAAGTGTATGAGCATATCCTCGTACCACTGACGGTAATTCCCTTTCGCCTTGCTCAGCTTCTCTCCCGCATAAGGGGTACTGGATCTGTTAAGAACGATGGATGGACGAGATTCGTCGGTTGTGGAAACGGCAGCCATATTTGCTGAGGAGGTAGATTCGGTGGTGTCGGGCATGATGAAGGTAGCGGTGAAAAGTGTAGCTGAGTAACAGCCTCGAGGCAACAAAGGAAATTGGACGCGTCTTAATTAGGCGCGTCAAGTACGCGTCAAAAAAGATCGCGTGTGATAAGATAAGATCTTGATCGATTTCTATCGTCACCAGACGTGACTAATGGCCCATAACCTGTAGAAATCCGACCTAGATCATAGGTAAGATCAATCTCAGTCTCGGTATAACGGACTACTATTAGGAATAATGTACCTAGATCATAGGTAAGATCAATCTAGGTAAAGTAAGTAATCATGTCGTAGCGGATAAGTAAAACGGCTCACCTCAGTCTCGGTATAACGGACTGAGGTGTGCGTAGTGTACTGTACGTATATATATACTACGTGGAATAAAGGGATGAGCTATGCATAAAGGAAGAGAAAAAAGAGAGAAAGAAAGAATAATAAAAAAGTGCCCAGAACAAACACGCGTGTTCACGGTGTCGTGATAATCACAACAACATTATCCTCTTTGATCTTCCCCCTCACTCCGCTATCCTCCTTCCCTCAATTCAACCTGGCGAATCGCGAAAGTCATTTACTCAGTACGTCGCCGGTGGTTTATTCCGGTACGTTAGGTATGGTTTTCGAACAGCGAAGAAGTTGGTTGAGGCAGAAAAGGTGGAAGGAAAGAAAGCAATCGATGGGGTTGCAAGAGAGCTCTCGGCCTTGGAGTTGAACGAAGATCGTCCCAAGGTGTTTTCAGATCGCTAAATGTAGTACAGCTATGAAATAGATGATATTACATGTGTTCTTCTCTTAAACAAACCACGGTTCTTCTATTCAACAAAATTACTTGGACTTCACGCCGTTTCGAAGACATCAACGCAACTTGAACGTGAGGGTTAGACTCAGCCCAGACATGACATTCACCTTCACCCGCCTATCCCGCTCCATTCCTTCGGCAACGTTTACAGCCAGTTTCTCCGAGTCCTCCTGGCCCTCTCTCAGTTTCTCCGGGCCCCCAATTTTTATCTCAGCCGACTTCAAGTCTCCCCCATAGCATCGCTCACTTCTACCACTTGCACTCCCTCCAAGGCCGAAACCCGCGGTTGCTCTGCCTCATCTTGCTTATCGTCCCCCGTTATCCCTTTCTCTGGGCCCTCCAATCTAGGCCGGGATTCTTCTCACACCTTACTACACGCAGTGTTCTCCCTCTCCTCGAAGACAAATAATGAGCGCTCAGGGAATCCACTGTATGAGTACAGCATCAAAACGGAGTCTGCAGATTCTATCAAGGTCATCCCAGATGTAAACAAAAACTGACAGGTATCAAATCGACGATTAAGATACATGGTAAAGTGGAAAAGTATCTCACCGGAAGAATGACTACGGGAGAACTGGCTATAGAAGATCCGTCCGCGCCTTTTCTGGCGAGCGCTGAGACGGCGAGTAGCGTTATTGATGAAGCTGTGTCTAATTCTTTTTTATCTCCAGCGTCAAACTTTTCTTGCGTAGTCTTACACAATCCAAAAAGTACCCCGACGGGGTGGATAGATTTGCGTAGAAGCACCGCTGAGGTCGAGGACGGCGTACGTGGGCGTATCGGGTACATGGAAGCTTTGACGGTTTTGAGGAGGCAGTGGGCAATTCTCGACAAATCCATGCCCTCATCCTTTCCATTCATAGTTCAGACCTTCTCCTGTATTTGCGAGGGATAACGCGATCGTATGCACCCTACTTTTATTAAGTCCTAAGTTCCCCGCCGAGTTAATATCTAATTAACGTAGGCAAAAGCAGCGTCAGCCCACTTTATATCACAGTCGTCTCCAACAATGCCAACGTCATCCAACGTCATCCAACCCAATCCACCCTTTCCACCAAAATCTTCCGTTCTCTCAGGACATGGAAACCTTGCAAAGGTTCCTTGCACACTTTGGCAGAGAAACGGCGCTCACTGTGCTGATATTTTGCTTGAGGGGGGTCGCTGGGTTACGGATGCGTGGATGTGGTTGTGATTTTTCGTAAACGAGGCGAGCGGTGCAAATGCGGCCCGGACTGCGGAGGGGGATCCAGACGATCACTATAAAGTCGTGAGTTGAGGTACGCCGTGCAAGGTGAACTGTAGGATGCATAATCATGAGCGCCGAAGAAAGTCGGTGATAGAGGGGACATACCGTAAATCTCAGCAACAAGACGATCGCCAAAAGGTTATCACCAGAGCCGCTTCTCCGATTGCCTTCGATCCCGCGTCGCTTGAGCGGTCGACACGTAGAAAGGTATCGCACGAGTGTGGGTTTCTGACTCGACTCAAGGCGAGAGCGACCATAAGTTTTCGAGACGCATAAAAACCGACATCGTATGACTAACCGCACAACAGAAGGTTATCAGCAAAACGAAGTTGACTGAACCCAGGGGACACGTACTGCATGAACGACATGCGTTCCCGATGCCACAAACCGTGACCCCCCGGAATGAAAGCTCAGACCTCAGCGTCCTTTCAACCCCATATCCCCCGTAAGAGTTCGCACATTCACACCCAGTTTCGTGTGCAGGAGCTGGACAGGTTCGAGTTCCTGGAGATAGTACGCAACAGGAAAGTTGGACTTGTATCGGAGGAGCACGAACGGTGGCTAGGTTATAGGCGTAGAGCCGGTGGAATCGACGGCGGTTGAGGACGCCGTTGTTTCAAGTGTAGTTCGTTCTTGCAATCGTCCTTTCCAAGACGATGGCGGTCCTCTGCAAGCAGAATGTTTTGCCCTTCATCCTCGCTGAGAGGTTTAACACCGTAACGAATACCCCCCCGCGTCGGGGTTGGTTCATCACCTGCGGGACGGTGTGCTCGTTTGGGTTAACTTGATGCCTCAGAGTTGCCACGTCGTCGATCCTTCAAAACGATAGTGGGATTAGCTCGTGGTCGAGAGCCAGAGGTGTGGGAGCCGTACCTAAAGCAAGAGCACGTACAAGACGTCTCCCTGGCAGCTCTAAGTATTGGAGGGGGTCCAAGGCGATCGTAGTGAGTTGAGTGCGTCGGGCCTTGAACGTTTCCCAGTCGATCGATCTTAACTCTTGAGCCTGACCGAAAGACACCAGGGCCACAGCGTGGCTAAGGACAGCAAACTGGTACCGGGGTTTGTGAGCTGCCTTCTAGAAATGGAGACGCTTAGCATGAATTCATCGGTCAAAGAACTTGAATTGACGTTCGTACCTGCGATGGGGCACTTGCCATGGCCCTTCTCCTGCACAACTGAGAGGTTTAACACCGTAAAGAATAGCCCCCGCGTCGGCGTTGGTTCATCGCCTGCAGGGCGGTGTGCTCGTTTGTGTAAACTTGATGCCTCAGAGTTGCCACGTCATTCACCCTTCAAAACGATAGTGGGATTAGCTCGTGGTCGAAATCCAGAGACGTCGGAGCCGTACCCAAAGTCAGAGGACGAACAAGACGTCTGCCAGCGCTTTACACATAGGAGGCGGTCCAAGGCGATTCAATGCGCCGTAGACAGTCAAATGCGTTGGACGTTGAACGTGTCTTGGTCGACAAAAGAAACTACGGTCACCTGACACCGAGGTTTCTATGGACTAGTGAACTGCCCTCTAGAAATGAAGAAGTCTTAGCAAGAATTGATAGGTCGAAGAGTTGACGTTCGTACCTGCGATAGAGCGCTGGCGTTGACCGTTCTCCTGAACAACTATCCTCTCCTCTGCGCCTCGTGAAAACTCATTCCTGCCACACGTCGTTCTCAGCACATCGTCTTAGGGACCGGAGCCTGGCGCCTATCCCTGGCGTGCGTGAATCGAGTCCGAGGGGACGACGGTACGGTGCTAACGAACGCATTTTCAAACCTAAAGCTTGGAAAGAGATAGAGCGAGAACGTACCGTACAAATCCGAGACACAATGTTCCCGACTCGTCCTCCAGTGGTAACCTACGATTGGAAGGTTGACAGGCAGTGTATACGCTGCTTGAGTTTGCGTCGCACAGGTAGACGTTACGGGCGGTGACAATGACCGGTCTGCATCAGAAAGAGACTTGAGTGGCACTGGATGACGGGGGAGACAAGTTGTCAGAGAGAAGAGGGCTGGATGAATCTGAGAGACACGTACTTAGTTACTCATTAGCTCCACCTCTCACCCATCCGAGACCAACTCATTTGCAATGGACACACACGCGGTTAAACGATCCGAGAGAGATAGCGAAACTGGCTGAGCGCGGTTTTCTTCCTCGGCCAAAGGTGTCGGTGGGCAGCGCCTAAAGCATGTTCGTCGTCAGATGGTGGTGGAAAAAAGAAGGTCTGAAAGTGGGCACACGATGACGCAGATAGGTTTCATGCGATTGGTCCTACCCTTCGAGTCCTAGTACTCACTGGCGTTTCTCACAGCGCCTCAGGCGCAGTGAATATGGGAGCGAAACTAAGAGTGATTCAGATAATTGTGAACAAGAAAACGTCATCGATCCAAATCGAGCTGAACGTTTGAACCTTTATCTTCTCGTCGTCAAATTCCTCTGCAACCCCACTTTGAGAAATACGTATGCCCGGTCAATGTGCTCCATTGTCCGAACTTATCAGGAAAACGTCCGATTGAACTTTGGGCAACTTTCGCAACTTTGCAAAGTTGTAAAGTTGCCAAAGTCGCTAAAGTTCAACAACTTTGTAAAGTAAGGTACAATAACTTTGAAAGTTGTTGAACCATTGAACTTTCCAAAGTTGGGAATCCATCTTTTGGTAGCACTTTGGCATCTTTGCTTGTGTACTTTGATGAACTTATTCGGTGACTTTGGGTCTCAAGAAGGATGTCATGGAACAGAAGGAATAGCGTTGATGTTCAGTATCTAATACAGTAGATGTGTTCTAGATAACGCTAATCCGGAGGCTTCTCGCCTACATCTCCGCTATCGACCTGCCTGCTACCGCTGTCCTACGCCGTTCACTCGGTTGTTCGGAGGAGCAATGAGATTGCACCTAGGCGTGGTCACAGTCGCGTGGGTGTGGTCGTGGTTGTGGACGTGGACACGTGGTGGTCGTGGTTCGCGATCGTTGTCGTGAACACGCGGTGGTCGTGCCTTGATAGCGGTAGGGATGGTCATGGAGTTCAATTCGTGGTCTGGGGGAGCAATGAGATTGCATGTCAGTATGCCCTAAGAATGAGGGTGAAACGGTGCACGCCAATGCCCCCTCCTCCCACGCTCACGACGAAAGGCTGGATCGGCGACGAGAGCTACGTCAGAAAGAAGTCAATCAATAACCCATCCATGAGGGAGATAGGAAAGAAGCTTACACGGCTCACGCGGCTCACTGCTTCGTTTCCCCCGCTGCGTGTTTCACAAGAGTTGACTCTGCGAGGATGTGTTAGATTGAACCAATACAGAGATTGAAGAGATATATTCGAACTGTGAGAGAGGATAACTGTGCTCCAAGCTTCGGTTGTTGTTGTTGAGGTGAGATATGTTGAGCTGTCTAGAAAGCCTGTTGTTTCAAGGAGAGTTTGAAGGGACAGACGAACGAACACTTACAAGATGTATCATTCCAAGTGGGCAAATTGCGGTTCAAATGGGTTGCCATCTGAGAGCAAGGCGTGGGGTTTGTGGACAAGCGGAGGAGTGGTAGGGGCACAAGAGAACAATCAGTACCAGCGAAGGGAGCCATGAGGGAGCCGGTGGGGAAGGGAGAAAGAGTGCAAAAATTTCTCTGCGAACTTGAACCAAGATCACGTGTACTCGTGATCGCGTCGTTCTCGTGAGGGCCGGGCACTTCAACTTGGGCGAAAACAGCGTTCATCTTCTGGCTCAGAGGTATGTTACTTCGTTCGTCTATGATTCAGCGCTCAGCGCTCAGCGCACTTTCAGCTACTCCTCTTCCGTTGTATTTTCTGCCCCCCTCCATCCTTTAGCAAATCTTTCTCCCGATGACGAAGGCACGCGTTCGTCTTCCTATGCGCTTTGGTCATTCTTTTCGCATTTCCGTAGCACCAAAAGAAAGCTGGGAAGTTCGTACGCATTCAGATCTGACAGCTTTGCGCTGCCCTTTATTGACAACACTGTAGACGCTCAAAAGAAGTCAAATTTCGCCAGATTTCGCCCCGCTGTGAGCCCAATCATCGCCGAAACACTTGAGGATGGTGGAATGCGAGGGGCCACGCCTCCGCCGAAGACTCTCGAAACGAAACTCACGCCCACAACGAAAGCGAGGAGGGAGAACAGCGCGGGCACTAGGAAGCCAAAGCGAAAAATAAGTTAGGATTGGCGGGCTTTGGGTGCTATCAGGCGAGCTGCATTTGACTTATGTCTATGTCTTCTGCTGACAGGTAATTGCTGAAGGGGTCTCCATGCTTCATACCGGCTGTGTCGTTGAATGCGATCGATGAAACATCCCCACGTCGCCGGTCAATTGCGAAACCAACCTCCAAGTCTCGGGTTCCTTGTTGGATGCTTCCTCGCCAACTTTTACTAGATCAACTACCTCTGGTATGTGGGGGGCGACCAGTGCCGTAAAAATATTATGGTTCTCATTCAACAATTCCGCAGGTGTAAGAACAGGACCCTCACACCTCAGTTGAATATGCTTGGATGAACCAACCCTCTCTCCCGCTTCGCCAACTCAGCGCGCTCAAACAGGTCACATTTGACCTTTCCTTTGAGGAATGGCCGATCATAACGCCAGGTCACGCGAATCGCCGCAGGGCATCATGAGCGACATTGGGCAGGCAACGGCCGTCAGAGGGAAAGACTGGTGGAAGGGAAGAAGGAGGTGGACATAGCCAGGCAGAGATTTCTCATTTCCTCGGCAAAGCCTGTACTCCTGGTTACATAATAACTGACTTACAAAAACCACCCATCTAATGATGCTTTCGTTTTCAATTTTTCAGTTAGCGGTACAACTCTTTGGAAAGAGACGAATCGAAGCAAAAGTTGTGTTCTGAAAGTGAAAGTTGCGTTCTAAAAGTGAAAGTTGTCAATAAAAGTTGAAATAGTTGTCGTACTCAAAGTAAAGTTACCCAAAGTTCCCACATCTGGAGTGAAAGTTGTCAAAGTACAATTGGACGTTTTGCGGATTTGAACCGACTCCCCAACCCCACGCCAAAATCATAAAACGGGCACTTTTTTTATGTAATACTTACTCCCCCTCTCTCCCACAGCCTCTCCGCTACCCTCCTCTTCACCACATTACCATCTTGCGCCTATCTACATTATGCGAACATAAGAGGGGCCAGCGAGAAGATAATGTAAATAGGCTCTTTGGGCAGTCCGAAGATTTTGCTTCATAGCGGTGTGGGACCAAAGGACGTACGGGACGCGGCGGGCGTACCGTTGAAGCTCGAGCTTCCCGGCGTCGGTCAACATCTCCAAGATGATACGGTAAGTCACGTCGTTATCACCTCTCTGGGTTTCACCAATCGCACGATAGACCACAGGTGTGGACCCCTTTAAAAACAGCTGGCGACATTTATTATTCAGGATTCGACTTCTCCGTGCGTGCGCTGCTTCTTATTTGCTATGAATATCCTCTTAACAATCATACAGAAAACTCTGGAGTTTCAATCGTTCATCAACGACGTAGTCGCCTTTGTCAACAATTCCGCTCTTTTCGGGTTCACCAACAATTCCGCAACGTTTCAAGCTGCTGTGGACGACTCCGCAAGCAGTCTTGTGCCTTTGGCAAAACTTGTGATAACGGTTTTACCGACCCAGTACCCGGAGGTCGTGCGAGGGTACAAGGCGGTGTATAACCTCACAGCACAAATTATGGACCAAACGGCGCAATTGGAATTGTTGCTCAGCGTTATCTCTCCGGGAACGGCGAGCATACAAGCTGCAATCCAACACCCATTCAGGTACGCCGTTCACTCCCCCTCTGTACCAAGAAATTAACCGAAATACATATGGATTTCAGCCGTGAACGGCTCTACATTAACACGAACAACCCTCTCGACCCAGTATCGTCGTTGACCCACAGTACTATTCCCACTTCGCAGGCAAGCCTCTCACCGTACATCCCCACTTCCTGTTAATTAATTATATCATATAGATGTAGTTACGATGCACGAAGGCGTAAAGCTCGCGGGCAACGTCGGCGTTGCCTTCGGAACGACCCTAGGCACAGAAATCACTCCCGGCCCTGACGTCCAGAGTGATGAGCAGATAGAAGCTGATAGAAGCATGGTTGCGGTGATCGGGCGCTTCCACTCAGTACCATATAGCTAGAAGCTGCTCGATGCTTCCGAAGGAGTTGGGTGGCGTCGTTAATGCCGACCTTCAGGTTCGTGGAACGGGTGAGCGATTGTTCGGATCGAATTAAATGAAGGTGGAAGTGAGACTGACTTGTGTTCTAGCCAATGTACGAATCGCCGACTCGTCGATCTACCCATTCGAGTTCGCCGCTCATGTACGTTGGTTGACTCTCCTATTCGCATTCCCTCCTGCTCATTGTCATCGCACAGCTCGGGTCTGCGACTTACGGAGTAGCCGAACAGGCTGCAGTGATTATTCAGTCCAACGCATTCACCGTTCCTAGCGCGTCCCATCCGATGTCTTCATCGACTGGCCAATTCGTTCGCATTCCATGGTTCGCCGCCATGCCTTTCATAATTCTACTATGCTTGCTTAGCCAATCATTCATATAGTACTGCCCCAACGGGCAACTGTCGTCACGTAGAAAGCAGAGTAGACTACATGCATATGGACTTCGGCCAGAGCATTATATATACTTATCTATTCGTCGTAAAGCTCTGGGCGCCCTATGGGGACTCTCGCAGTACGATATGGTATGAATAAATAAGGGCAGTACTGCATATGTATAGCATAGCTATCGACATGCGTGTAATCCTCGTCTTCCAACCTCAGTACCTATGCATCCTTGTCTATTGGCAAGTTCCTGTACCCGCTTCTTGCACAAGGCGCAAGACGCTCCACATGCGATACGACCCATTCCCAGGCGATACCCGCAACGCCAACAATGGACCAGGGAACAGAAGCGAGAGTAGCGACCACGCCTATGTCGCCACCGTACGCGGGTCTTCCTCCGTCTCCAGGGAGGCGGATGGTACTAAAAGTATCGCGTAAGTAAGCAACGACGGAGATGCAAGATAAACGTACCCTCTGGCGAGGCCACTCCGACGATAATAGTAAAAAGCATTAAGAGCCGTGAAACCGAATGGGAGGAGAAGCATGAATAGCCAGAACCGAGCGCTATGAAACTTGAAGCCAGGGCAGCGATGCTCGCGACCACGATCGGGTCTCTCACCATCCGTGCAGCTGAAGTAGGGGGTCAAACGGTAGGCTGTCCGTTCGTACCAGAACTCTTCGCCGTTTCTGCAAACCGCATCGCTGTCGGGTAGAGGAGTTGTACCGGGGACAAGTTCAGACTCGTCATTGGCGTTCTTAACGTGGTTGAACTCGCTGAAGGGGGACTAAGTGTCATGTTGAGGGAGATCAAAGAAGAGTTACCTACCATTCGAAATCAATTTTCGAGCAAACCCAGTTGAGAACAACGCGGCTAGCTGCCTTTTCTTGTTCCCCCACAGTGCAGTCCGTGTTACGAATGCGGCGGCGGTAGCCTAGTGTCTGAACTGGACGTTGAGTTCGTAAATCCCCTCAGCAAGAAAATCGTCGCACCTGGCGGCCGAAGAGACATTGCTGTGGGCGGTTCTCACTGGGGCTCCACATCTCAAAGTCATCCTTTTCAGGATTGTCAGCGCTAAGGTCACCTAAGGAACAGAAGTTAGCATAGGAAATGAAGGAATAGAACCAAATCCGCGAACATTTTCTTGAAGTCAGCTGCGTGAAGTCAATATGAACCGCGATTGAACCGGGTGTGCGCATGAAACTTCCAAACAGGATGAAACGTCGACTCGTGTCAGAAGGAACCGCAACGATAGACCGGACGCGCATCTTCTCCGTGAACTTGTATTCTCGCCACGTCAGACCTTCGTCTGTACTGAACAGGATGTGATCAGTAGGTTCTTCATCGTTAGCTAGTACAAGAATCGATCTGGAGTCGCCAAACTTTCATAAAAGGGCGTCCTTGTGGACTTCTTGCCATGCGAAGCCAGCGTCGCGGCTGAGGAAGGTGTCGCTCTCGGTGTAAGGAGCCAACGTTTCACCAACGTTTCCGACGGCCATAAGCACCCCAACAATGGAAGGGCTGCTATAGGTGGCTCGTGGATCCATCTGTTCGGTGTAGCCATGAATGTGAAGGGCACACTTAGGAAAGATCAGACTCATGTCTAGTGGGAGATAAACAGCACTTACTGTACCCTCACATGAGTATATGTTCCCCTGTGAGTCGACCAGTGGCGGTGTCAAGGGCCTCCACGTACTTCCTGTTTCAAAACAGCGAACGAAATTATGGTGAAGGAGCTGCATACCGTCGTTGTGCGTGATTCGGCTCTGCAACTGTTTATGGCCTGAAAGCGTTGCATCTGCGGGGTTGGACACGACGTTGGCGAGAGCGATGCCGTCCAGGCCAATCATCTTCTCGAGATCGACGTAACCCTGTTCGTCCTGATTGACATTCTCAAGCGCAAGACCGAAGTGCGTGCCGTTTGAGTTGGACTTCAGAATGTCGCCCCAGAAGGGAGCCGGAGCCTCCGACATTGTCATGTGAAGGAAAAGCGATTTCGTGCTTGACTCTAAGACAGTGTATGCCTGAAAGACTGGGCCATCCAGAGCGATCATACAGACAGGGAAGAAAGAATACTCACGTGGGTTTCCGGGTGCACGCTGGGTGGGAATTTGCCAGTTGCAAAATGTATTCCGTCGAGCGAGACTTCGAGCTCCCAAGAGCGTCTCTCGGGTATCATCTACGAAAGAGCGTAAAACCCTTGGTGCAACAAAACCATACGAAGACCTACCTCAGCAACGACCAGGAACTCTGAAAACTTCGCAAAGCCAACAACATGATCGAAAACCTTCCTTTTATTCGCGTAATAGTTTGACCCTGTCACCAGTTCCGTCGGGTTTTCATTCTGAAATAGACGCTGGTTGCCCTTCTTGTCCCGCAAATGATCTCGTTCGGATCGGTATTGAGCTCTGCGTCTTTCGCCCATGCGCGATTCCACACGTAGCTATCAATGAGGGACCACTTGCGCCCGTTATCCCTGGAGTACTGGGCTTCTGCATGACAGCTTTGCGCTTGGGCCGAGCAGCCTCTGTTGCCCGTCCAGATGAGGTTGTCAGTGTTCGGGTGGAAGTGTGTGACTTGCGCTCCGAAGGTGTCGGGTGGAGTTGGGGCTTTGGGTTCATCCGTTGTCGGCTGTGTAGAAGGTGTCGGCGTCGGCGATGAGGTAGGCGCGATCGTCCGAGTATTTGTGGTGGTAGAATGCAAGGAAGCGGTGTTCAGGGTGGATTTGCATCCAGCTGTAACCTTCGTTGCTGGATTGCCGCACGGTGTGGTCGACGGGACGAACCAGAATGGTTTTGACCTGGGCAGACGTCAGAACGAGAGAGATACGGCGTCGATAGGACAGCTTACTTTGGGGTTCTTGAAGTACGCGTGTTGCACGATCTGATGTTTGAAGTCATGCTGCGAAATGTTAAGTTCAATGCGAAATGAAATACAACGGTCAAAGCTTACAATTTGGTGGGCGATTTCCCCGGGAGCAGGTTGTGCTGTTGGTGGTAATCAGAAATGTCTCAAGCCAACAATGACGGACAAGGAAACCTTGCGAACACTTCTTATCAACTTTCTCGTCCTTCTTGACGCCATCCACGCAGGTATTCCCAGGAATTTTCCTCCATCCCGGGGGGCCCTTGTACGTCTGGTCGGGGTTCCCAGTACATACGCCAGCAGGAATCGGCTCTGGCCCAACGGGGACGCAATCCTTTCTGGTTTTCGGCGTTTGTACCATTGCTACGGAAATGCTGTTTGAATAAAGCCACACACAATAAAACAGGAGAACGAACCTTGTGGCCCATCCAGTCCTCTGTCTTGGAAGTGCGTGCCTACCATTTCTCGAAATCTCCCTCCACACACTTGCGTTTCCTCGTCGATCTCCTTTGTCTGGTCTTTCCGCGCTACTTGCCCCAGCAGCCGGAACCTTTGTGAGGTCGAGTCGGGGAGGGTCATGAGCGCCCTCGCTCGGAATGAGGTTGAGTGTTCGGCGAGACTAGTCCTGCGACAGGAGTCAAAGTAAGACTGGCTTCGCGATTGTCCTCTTCTAGACGAGTCCGAGTCCGATATAAACCTCTCAGACACAAAGATTCGGCAAATCGCATCTCACCTTGACCCACAGCGGACTCCTGCAGATCTGGAGAACTTGACGAAGGTCTTGCCGACTGGGAAGGGGCCGCGGTGTGACCTGGAGGATGAGTGAATCGGCTAGGTCTGCGAGGTAAGAGTCCAAAACAGTACATAGTGTTATCTAAGGTAGCATTGCCGCCTGGACACAAGTCAAGTCACCATCGATAACACTAAGATGGAGCCAATAGTATACTTACTTGAAGCCCTCGGCTCTGCATTTCCTGCATCGGTTCCATGGTGAGCGCTTGACGCGGAGGAGACAGAAACCCGAGTGGAATTCGACTGGTGAGCCGACTCGTTGGGAGACTTCAAATCTGGAATGAATTTTCGTATGCCTCTGGATTTCTTCTTCGATTTCTTTGCAGTGGGCGACATTTGGTCGGCCATGATTAATTGATTGACTAAGGGTGAAAGGCCCAGACAAACAAATACAAATGGGTGCTCGAAAATGGGCATCAGGGATTTTTTTGAATGGCGTATATCTCAGCAAGTATTTACTCCCTACCCTCAAAATTGCAGATTTAGGTGGGAACTGACAGCGTTTACAATAATATGAGGAAAAATTCGGGCTTTTTTCTTTTATCCCGATTTTTACGATTATTCTAGAGTAAAGAAACTGAGCGGTAAACGCACGATGTTGGCAACGTGGCTTGAACATCGCGTCGACGAATATGCGCATAAATGCTTCTCATATTGCGTAGTATGTACTGCGGTATAGCTTGATCCTGTAAAACTGCGATGTATAGCTTCCACACAACTCGGATGGCGAAGCGAGCCCCCCACAGAATGCGGATACGTAATTATGAGTGCGAGAGATGAGGACAAGGGAAGATACGGCGGGGCAGTGTCAGGGCGTCTGTCATTCAATTCACGGTGAAGCAAGGGGTGCCTGGATTACTGAATATGTAAACCGGGGTGTTTTGACTGAGTTGTAGTCACCGCACTGCAAGTCGAAATTGGAAACAGTCTGGAAGTTCTCTAGTTCACAAGATTACTGAAGGCGTGGCAATGGGGCGTTTTAACTGGGTCGTAGTTGTGGTGGTGGTGGTGGTCCACTCATCTCCCTAGTTCCCGTGTGCATTTTGAATACACGCAGTACACAAAATCTTATTCTACATCCTAAAAACGAGGGAACGTCCGTACGCTACTCAGTCCTTCAGTAAGTAACAGAGAGTTCACGTCGCAAAAATCCCAATGATCTTAAACATCGGCACACTCTGTCCTTCCTTACCCAACAACTGACATTCCGCGAAATGAGAGCCTCGTCCAACATGACGGTCGATTGTCTTCAACCTACACCAACCAACCGTCATAGGACATACCTAGGTAAAGCATCCCCAATATCCGCCGCATTTTTGATAACCTTCGCACCCGCATAATTATCATCAACCCAACACTCAACCGAACTCCCCTCCCCAACGACCCCAACCGGCTCCCTCAAATAATACACCCCAATATCCCCCCCTCCAACCTGTATCGGTATCCTAAGCTTACTCGTTGAAAGCGCAGAATGCCTATAATGCGCAGCCGTAACCAGGGCATCCCCACCGCTCCCGCTCGGATGGTCTGCGTACCCCGAGCCGTAGAACAAGGACGGCGGTAAGGGGTTAATGAGGTCGGTTGCAGAGACGCAGAACGGTGCGATCTCTTCGAACGGCCGGTTCCCGTTTGGTCGGGCGTTGATTCGGCCAGAGGGGACGGTGAGGAGTAGGGGGGAAGAGGAGGAGGAGGGAGACGAATCCCCCCGGTCTTTCATAGCTGCCCTCTTCTTTTCCACAGCTGCGTCAACGGCTAGATCGCCCTTTTCTGGCTGAGGGACTCCGGAGCGTTGACCTACGCCGCCGAATAGTCCATGAGCATCGCCTACACCTCCCTCGAATCCTGCGGTATGCACTGGGACAGCTTCATATGACGATCCAGTAGCCACACTCCACGCTGCACATATCTGACTCTGGAAGTACGCCAAGAGTATCTCCGAGATGGGTTCATGGCCCGAAGGGCTAGTGAGGACGGGATCGACAAAGTGCTTTTGGATAGACTTTGGATCGCGTATGCGATCGGGGAAGAGGGCAGATTTGACGGAGATGTGTGGGACGTCGTTGAATTGCGCGACGATGTTCTGCCAGTGCTCTGGCCCTGCAAAACTGTGGGTTGGGTGGGTTTGTGGTGAGAAATGGCCGAGGAGGAGGACGGCAGGTTTGTCGGGCCTGATGAGGATGGCATTTCAAAGCGGTCCATCGTGTCTTGGTTCCTGTGGGATAGGTTAGTTTCGATGCTAGAAGGAGAAGGGGAGAAAGAGGAAGAGGAATGAATGTGAAAGGGAACTTTAAACTGGAAGAAGTTGAAGGATGAAGAAGGTGAAGACGAAGCGGAAAGACAAAGAAGGGACTAGGACCGCCGCCCACATGCAGTAAAAGACCAAGAGTCAAACTTTGGACTGCCCAAGATATAGCGGAGATGATAAGACGCGAAAGACAAACACAAATCGTTCAATTGAACCAATAGAAAAGAAGCAAAAAAGCGGTCACATTTCGATGACAGAAGGAAGACCCCAACTTTTTAAAAAAAGATAGAAGTGGCAAGGGGAGAGGAAGGTAAGGCCTGACAAGGATCCTGGTGGCGATAAACAAGACAAACTCAAAGAAAGGATGCTTCTGCCTGAGCTTTCAAACAAAGATTGAAAGGAAAGAAAGAAACTTGCACAGGCTACCTGCCGACCACCGCCGCTAGGTGGGTGAGGGGACGGATGTTATCTCAAACCAAAGTCACCAAAATCGGAGAAAGACACATGGAAACAAGAAGGAAGAAGAGAAAAACATAAAGGAGGGGCGGTCGCTAGGACGACCATATGAGAGCCCCAACATCCAGAGGAGTCAAAGTCAAGAGTGCTCCCAATAAGATGCGCGGCATGATAAGAACGCAGAAGACAAACCGATACAATAAAAAAGCAAAAAAACGGTCACATATGGATGACACAAGAGAGACCCCAACTTTCAGGAAAAGTATAGAAGTCGCTGAAAGTGATGCCTGAAAAGATATCGAAGATGAAGGCAAAGGACAAACGCAAAGGACAAAGAAAGGAAGAAACATGCACAGACGCCGCTGGGTGATGGGACACCTGGAGGTTATAAAGAGGATGACCAAAGGAAAGGAAAAGCCACGCGGAAACGCGACAAGAACAGAAGAAGGGAGGTGGATCGCACCTCTGCGCTACGGGTTCCCGAAAAGAGCAAAAGGTAAGTCACAACGGCTCGTCGCACTCAAAGAAGGACAAAAAAGAAACGAAAAGGGAGGACACTCTCCCCGGAGGTTTCAGCCATAATTTAGAAGAGAAAGAAAGGAACATGGACAGGCTGCCTGCCGAACGCCGCTGGGTGGGCGAGGGGACGATCAAACCAGAGTCACCAAAATCGAAGAAAGACGCAAAGAAACGCGAAGAAGAGAAGCGAAAGAAGGGAAGGGTCGCACGTCTGCGCCATGCCTTCCAAAGAGGAGCATAAGAAGACGGGAGTGGCCATAGCTGAAGGAAAACCTGGCGGAAGAGAGAGCCACAACGAGACCCATGGTAGAAGATGAATGAGCAAGTGAGCAAGACGGGATAGCCTCGTGGGCGGCTACCATTGCTTGGTATGGGAAAAGTCCGTCTTATGGGCGGGCGACAATAAGGTGGCATGGAATGTATGATAAGGTGGGTGGGCGCAACGAACAGAAGCAAAAAGAAAAGAAAAGGATGGTATAAGGAAAACGGCAGAGAAACGAAAGAAAGGGCAAAGAAACGAAAAGAAAACGTACGGTTCATCCTCCGTATCCAACTGAATAATAACCAAATCCGTCTGATCCGGGAGATGGTGCGAGTTACAATAGCCAAAGTATACCGAATTCGTGCGTCGCAGGACGCCATTTGTCAGTTCCATAGCTGGGTGTGGAAAAACTGTGTTCCACCATTGGAAGGAGCGGGAGGGGTAGCATGTAGGGGAGATACGGTTGTCCCCTGCTCCGTGGCATGCTGACACTGCGTGGGCAGTCGTATGTGAGTTTCTGGGTGGAAAGAGGAAGGGGAAGAAGAAGGGATACACACCCGAACCGCCCAAAACAGAGATAGTAACACTCTGCCCCGCCAGCGCCTTATTCAACACCCTCTGAATCCTCGCGCCACTCCCCAAATGCATCCTACTCTTCGAAAGCGTAACAGCACCATACTTTGCACCGATCCTATCGCCAGGACTATAACTCAGACAAAAATCTTATAACAGGTTCGCTTGAGTTGAGGTAATCCTCGGCTTTTAGATCCGCATTGGAGTAGTTTGGTATTGATGAGGAGGAGTAAAAGAGGAAGTGGCTCGGCGTCAGAAGGAGGAAGACAAAGAAGACAAGAGCTAGATGCGTGTTGCCCTTCGAGAGGAGGAGGAACAAGGGGAACAAGGGGAGATTGTACCCAAACCTTGACGGCACCTATGAATTGTATTTACTGTTAGTTGTATGGGCTCTTGTCACAGTGGTAACCCACCTGCTTTGCATATCAATGTCCTTGCATGAGGTCCTGGGTTCAATCCGCACAGTGTCTATCTTGATTTTTCTATATTCATTTGTCCGTGCCAGTCCAAATGGACCTTTTTACTTTCACCTAACCTCATATCTTATTCAAAGCTGCCATCTGACATCCGCCCTTATTCCAAAGGGCGTGGTGACATGTATAAGCATCTTTTGCCTGCATCATCTTGGGCGTGTAGTGGACACATTTGATTCCAGTGGGTTGCCTCTTTGAAATCCCTGTACATCCTGAACGGTAGTACTAGTAGTACACGTAGAAATGCAGACGTACGCGTCATGAATCCAACGCTTGCGTTCATACCCGATAAGTACTCAAGAGTAATAATTGGAATAGATTATTAAATGATAGCCATTACTTTTCCTCCGCTGTACGTTCGCTACTCCAGACACCGATGCTCGGTGACACCTTTGCCAACCCCGAATCATCAATATGTACATCCGTCTCTATCTCTTTGCGAACGAAAAGTTGGATGTTATTGGTTATACGCTAAGAGGTCAAGTCTTCAAATGTCATCCTCCCACTTGAAGTAGAAAGGGGAAGCCTACGGTAGACTCTTCAGGAAGACTAATCATTCCACACAGTTCTTCTCGACAAAGAAGTGTGTGCATGAGTGTCTAAACGGAGTCGTTTCAGTGTCAATGGCGCTTTTGGAATCTACACACTTACATTGCTGTACAAGCGGCTGATTGGTACACCGAACAAGCTGTAGAACTCAGTGTGCCTATCAGCCAGGTATAAAACTAACGTCAGAACAGACGCGACACTGGTCAAGAGTCCTGATACGATGTAAAGGTCAGGTTAGTGCCTTTGGCGCAGGGGATTGAAAGACGCCTGTCTGTACTGTTGTCTGCATACTATCAGACCTCTGAAATCCCGTTCGTGACTGGGAAAGTAAATGCAATAAGATGCCTGCGAAATAGGAGTGACTCAGACGTCAAGCGGTTCAAACGCAAATGCGAACCAGTAATCAGGACGTTCACGCCGACTTCCAGACAAAGCCACACAGATATCAGAGAGCTCATACCCACTGTTTCCATCATGCTAGTCATTAGGAAATCAGCTCCAAAGACAAGACTCAGTCGTTGTGAAATGATGGCTGGCGTACGTTTTGACATTGCAGACCTTGACACCGAAGATAATGCCAAAAATGAAAGCAGCAGCAGCCAGAACCAACACGGTAGCGTATAACGCAATGCTCTTTTTAAGCCTGAGAATCCTGGAGAAAAACGAATGAGCATTGCGAACTTCAGATGATGAAGCGGCAACTCACCGATACGCCAAAAACACCTGCGTTATGCAAGCCGTGACTGTAGCTACAAATACCCATGCTGGATAAGGCCAAACAGGTCCTAATGTACAGAAAGGATCAAACTCGAGGGCGAACAGGTTCGGTAGAAACGTACTGGTCAAAGCGAAGGGATTGTTATAGCCATCTACACTGGTGAGTGGTGTTTGGCATTCAACATGGCGAGGGGTTAACGATGGATACGCATGCATAGACCCAAGCGAGGTAGATTAATCTAAACAAGGTTATCACTGGACGTTCGCCGTAGATACTCCGCTCAACTCACGAACTGCTGTGGAAAGTGTCGAGGCAGAGTAACGCAAAAACGGTGAGTCTGCCAGCCATATTTATGGTATCAGTCTTGAAGGCGACCGCATCGTTAAACCGGACACCGACCGAATCCATAATGCGTCGTTGAATGCTATTTGTCGAGCGGTCAGAACCTGATCAAGGGGAAACGGCAGCTGGTGACTCACCAGTATTGTAATATGATGCATATCGGAATGTAAGTACCCCATAGAGATAGGCGTTGACCTGCGGACCCAAGGAAAAGTCAGCACATATCGCGGCTCCTCAGCGGTAGGAAAAATTCCCCACAAAAGATGCCCAGCAGAAGAGGGCCTATACATGGTTAGGAAATCGCAATATGAGAAGGGAGCATGAATCTCACCAAGAGTTACCTGGAAAATACCCATCGGAGAGGTGACTCGGAGGGGAATGAGTAACTGAAGCGAGAAGAGGTTGTGGGCGGTGGCCAACTTCAGAATTGTCCACGAGGGTCGACCTCAGCGCCATCCCTTACTTAGAAGATGAAGCAACCGAACACGAAATTTAAAGGGATTATGTTAGATAAGGGCGCCAAGGGTGCGGAAATGAGTTGGGACTCCGACGGTTGTCAGGCCAACGTTGCACCTCGATATGTAATATAATGTATGTCAAGGTTCAACGTTGTTCAACGTTCATATTGCTACCGCCAACGACGACGACATCCAGGATTTTCACCTGTTATTTCATTCTAGACGACATGATTTCGCATCTTCGAGATTTTGTTTCATCCTCAGTTCCGTAATTGGCATTCGGAGTCGGAAGGCATCGGGGCGATCTTCTTATGTAATGGGCCTTGCTTATAATTAATGTTCGTTGCCAACAGTTGCTGGGCGACTTTACATTGAGGCAGGGTCGTGTCAAAAGCCATGCTAATGTCTTTTTGGTTGTAATGCGCCATACACCGACATACATAGGTGGGAACGAGAAGTGATCATTTCTTGCTCTCCTGGCTTCCACTAGCACCAACGCCACCCACCCCAGAAAACCACAGGAAGGCCTTAGCGGTGAGTCAACCTGCGCACTCTCATGTTGGCGATATCCTTGTGGGGAGGTTGATTCCGCATCTTAATCTTCTTCTCTACGTGTTTATGGAGAAACAGTACGCTAACGATTTCTTCTTTGATCTCGTCAGCTGCTGTGCTCCGCCGTCGCGACTTTGTCGTGTACCAGGATATCTACCCCACTTCAATTATACCTTCCAACACAGGCGCCCATAAACTTTCGCTCTCTTAAAATTTTAACTACTATAATCCCGGTATGAGTTACTTCGACACTTCATCGCCTGCTGACATCTTATACGTTACGCTGAAGCTCCCGCCTAAGCCTCAATATGGAAGCTACCGACCATGATCCGTTGGCCATCTTTATGCGGCCACCACCAAACGAAACGCCAACCGAGAGAGGCGCTCGTGAAGAAAGAGAGGCTCACGCGCGTCAAATAAGCGATCAGATTGACGAACAACTCAAGAAGGATAAAGCAGCTCTAAAACGACAGAATGGGTTTGTCCGACTGTTGCTTTTGGGTCAGTCAGAGAGCGGTGAGTTGATTTGCCTCAGCCTTCTGTAGATTTTGCTCATGACACATCGTGCGTTTCGACCCCCCATAGGTAAATCAACGACTATCAAAAGTGCGTTGTGTGCCCGCCGTTCTTGTAATATCCCTCATCACCTCCAATACAGACTTTCGAATGAAATACTCCCATGCTCAGTGGAAAGCTGAACGTCTCTCCTGGCGCGCCGTCATTCAGCTCAACCTCGTCCGCTCCGTCCTCACCATCCTCGACACAATCCAAACAGAAATGGACGGGACCACCTCCACCCCAACGCCCTCCGTTGTTCAAGAAACTTCCTCTCACAAAGAGGACCAGGAGGAAGATGACCCAATTCCCTGCGCGACTACAAGTGGCGTCGGCATTCTCGCGAACATAAGCCGCCGTTCATCGCTATCCAAGGACTCCAACTCAAGTTTACGAACGACTCTATCAAGTCAACACCAAATTCTCAAACTCCGCTTAGAACCTTTGCGCAGAGTTGAAGCAGATTTGAAGAAACATTTAGGTGCAGGATCGGACGAGGAAGAATTTGACTCCAGCGCATCCCTTGGTGTCGACCCCCTAGGACCCTCATCCTCTAGTTTAGGTGACGGTGACCAAGGCGGCGAAAGACGAAGC